GGACGCGAGTGGATACCATCTTCTGGAACACTGGACAGATGGAGTTGAAGATTACCCTGTTATTATTGGCTGCCAACCAAATTGTATTTTGTAGAAGTGAGCCTAGCTTGCCCTTTTGCCTTTTGTCCTGATGCTTTTCTCCAGAATCTACTAAAACCAAAAATGAATGCATTGATTCTTTTATAAACTCCAGTGAGAATGTACCACCTGGGTGCAGGTGGGGGTTATCTTCTACCTTCAGTCCATGGAAAAAGTTGAATGTCATTTAGTGTGGGTTTAATAAGCAAGTCATATCTGTTTCAAGCTAGGATTTGTGTTTTCATCTATTTAGAAACTTTGTGACTCTCACTTTACAGGGTGGCTACTTTTGCATAACCATCTGTCCAACTCACAGGAGCTAGCACTGCTTACAGCCACCACAGTTCAGAATGCTGCTAACAAAGCTCTATGAGGTGATGAGTCTTCACAGATCTCCCAGTATGCTAGAAACCAATCCATAGTTCCCAGGAGCCAGGTGTGATATAACACTGTTTATTGTGGTTCATTACTTGCTGAGACTGTTTTTGTATTTCTGAGTCCTTGCTGAGAGATATTCTCTAAGTGCAAATGCAAGTTAAAGATCCAGGGTCTGTTGTTGCACCAGATAGATTGGATGTTGTCTTAAATAGATTAAAAATATGTAAGAAAGCTGTATCTGGAATAGAGAAGGTGCTTTAGGTGATTAGCTCTTTATAGCTCTTCTGGATCACTAGGGTAGAAGATTATTGACAGTGCACTCGATTGGATTGTTGTTGCATCTGTATCAGTAGGCACGAATTTCCAACACATCAGATCACTTGTCGTGTCTCTTGCTTTCTGAGATAACATTTAATCTGTGGGAGAGAGATGCATCCAGGCAGGCTGATGTGTGAAATCTACTTCATATGTTCCTCTTCTCTTTTCAGAGCTGTCCAGCCCTTTAAAAGACCAAGTCAACTCTGCTTCTAGGTTAGTGTGTCACATAGTGTTTCCCTCTGTTAGGATTCTGACAGCTCAACTTCCAACTGAAAATCAAGATCTCTGCGTAGAGATGTGGCACTTCTACCAAGTTGAAAGTTGAAAAGAGTGAGGAAAAGGAAATTTCTTAAAAGAGTATTTTTGCAATTGGTTTTATTTTTTCTTTGAGAGAATTTTGTTCATCTGCTGGTAAAACAGTTTTAATTTAAAATAGTTTTGCGAGTGACCGATGTGAAGTATTTAAATTTGGGAAAACGTAAATGTTTATTTAACTTCAGGAATCCGTGAATGCCTCCTGCTTTTCTTCGATTGCATAGAACAAAAGCTCTCAGGTTTTCCCTGTACATTAGGAGTGTAACCATCTGTGGCAACTGCTCACATTCACCATTTGCTGCGATCAAATCTATCCTTCTGCTCCTGTTTTACAGCACTGCTGTTTTTCAACAGTGCTTATATCTAGGCTGTCTCCTAACAGTGTTTCTGTTTGTCCATTCTGGAACTTTTTGGCACTTGACCCTTTCTGCTTTAGCATTTTAATAAACAGCTCAAGGACAATACAAGAGCTAGCAGCATGTTGGACAGTGTTACTTGGCCCATTTCATTGTTGGAATAATCCTGCTTGCTCTCTGATGTTCAACCTACAGAGCCACACAGAGTGAAATCCAGGTAGAGACAGCCATACATCATTGCAGGTTGTTGCTGAGAAAAAAGGTTACTTGCTGTGCTGTCAGCTATACTGTTTAAAAACTCAGGGTTTAGGGCTCTCTAGGTAGCTGAAGGGTATGACTTTGTAAGCTAGACTGCAGCAGACCCCTTACAGAATGAACACTCAAATTTGGCTGCATCGCTTGGAAAATAAGCCTTAGAAAAATTTCTTGTGAATTAGAAGTGATGATTCAGATTGGTTTTGTGTTTCCTTTGTGACTTCTCTTTTATCCCAAGTGCATGTGTCCCAGGCATTTGTTTCTGTTCTTTTTATCATCACAGAATATACCCACTGCTCTACATTGAATATGAATCAAGTTTACCCTTTAAAGGCCATCACTGGTTTGGAAATCTTCAGCTTAAGAGTTCACACTGTGTTTACGAAGATAAATTCATAATTGTGTTTAAAACTTCTAAGAATATCTACTTGTGTTGTCTCGCTTTTTAAGAAACAAGTGAGGGAATTCAGAGGTGAGGATGGAAGGTTGATGCTGACTTAAGATCTGGTTTGCTCGTTTGTCAGATGTTTACCTTTTTTTAAGTTTGTGACTGGTTTCTTTTATCTTTGTAAGCTCCAGGGATGTATATATGTGTATATAAATGCTACGGTTGAAGTTAATATTCTTAAAGATTATGCTGAATATTGGAATAAAGAATTCCCAGAGCAGTGCTAACTGAATTTACTGAGTTGAAAGTAAATCTTTGTGAAACTTTACTGTTTGGTTTAAGAAACCTGTATGATTTAGCTATATTTCTGGATACAAATAATGCTATTTTTTAAAATCTTTCCTGTAAACTAGGCAAATGGTGGCACGAAGTTTACTGGACACTTTGAAGGAAGTCAGTGATGATGAGAGAGATTGTATTGCTGTGTTGGAGAGAATCAGCAGATTAGCTGATGATTCAGGTAGGTAGCATTAAACATGTTACTGGCTTAATGAAGAAATATCAGAATTGCTGAAGTTGGACCAATGTCTTCTCTGTCTTCAGTATTCAGACTAGGTTTCTACAGAATGTAATAAAATGCTGTGAAGTTCCTTTTCTCTGAATCATCCCCACAAAGACAACTTTTTTCCTTGCTCTTCAACAGAATTGAACTTCTTCAATGTGTGGAACTACCACTTCCCATTGGTATATTTTAAAATAATTTTTAATGTACTGTAGCTACTCAGCAAATCTACACGTTAATCTTAGCTTTGTAGGTAAAGATGAAATTTACTGCTTTGAAAAGAATCTTGCAAAGCATCCGTGCAAAACTCCTACTAGTTCTGACAAAACTTGAATGCTGAAGTTATTCTTTTGCTTCCTTTTGGGAAATTAGTAGTGAAGACAAGCGAGGCAGCAGCAGCAGGGAGATGGCCGTTGCTCCCTGTGCTCAGCTCTGGTGAGGCTGTACTTTGAGTTCTGTGTTTGGTTTTCGGTCCCTCACTGCAAGAAAGACATTGAGGCCCTGGAGCATGTCCAGAGAAAGAAAAAGAAGATAGGAAGGGTCTGGAGCACAAGTCTCATGAGAGCAGCTGAGGGAACTGGGATTGATCAGTCAGGAGGAGAGGAGGCTCAGGGAAGACCCGATGGCTCTCTACAAACTCACCTGGTGAGATGGGAGTTGGCCTCTTCTCCCATGTAACTAGCCATAGGAAGAGAAGGAATGGCCCAAGTTGTGCCAGGGGAGGTTCAGATTGAAGGATATTAGGAAAAATTTCTTTTCTGGAAGAGTAGTGAGGCATTGGAAGAGGCTGCCCCAGAAGTGATGGAGTCACAGTTCCTGGAAGTATTAAAGAAACACGTAGATGTTGTGCTGAGGGATTAGTGGGCAGCATTGGTGGTAGGTGGCCAGTTGGACTGGATGATCTTAGCGGATTCTATAATTCTGTGAATTGATAGACAAGATGTAGGTATAAATAATGAATACAAAGACTCTAGGGAAGTGCTTTTGCTGATATGGTTGCTCTGGGTGTTTGGAATAAGAGGCAGAAGTAGGAAAATAATGAAAAAGAAATTTGAAAGAAAGGATGAATGCTTTGAAGAGGGAAACTGAGAGGAAAAATTATGTGGACAGTGCTGCAACAAAATTCCAGGTTGAAGATTCTCTAGAAAAAGTTAAAAGACTTGAATTTAACTTAATGCAGTGCTGATACAATTCAAGAAAGAAAAAAGGCTTTAACAGCAAAACATCAGAGAAGATCTGAAGTTTGTTCATTTATTGCTGTGTGAATGATATGGAGGGTTTAAAAAAAAACCCTGTATTAAATCTTGTTTGAGGAGAAAATTTGCTTTTTCAGTGTAAGATCTGTTAGTTCTGCCTTCCAGAGCTGCAGGACATAGTGCTCCAAGGGTAAAAAAAAATAAAAATAAAAATAAAAAATCCTGTAAGATCCTACCTCCTTCATTTAAAACGCACATTTTTGTTTTTGTGAGCTAACATCCTTGTTCAGACAGGAATGTAAGCATTATATAATTATATTGAGTACTTCCCCAAGGATTCTTAAGGAGGAAAAATAAGTTACTGTTCGTTTGGAATTAAATGCCTTCAGTAATGAATAATGACATGCAACTGTTTCTACAACACTTCCCTAGCTAAGCTCTGCTTCTGAAATCCATATGTATACAGTGCTTGTTTGTGTGGTGGTCCTAACAGCTCTGAGCACCAAGAACTTGCTGAAGTTTCATTTTGACTTTGGAAAATAGAACAGATCTGTACAGGGGAAAATGACCTTGTGGAGTGATTTTGTAGCCATGGACTTTCCATTGGTGACCAACTAAGTGTGTCAAACTGAAGTTTGTTTAGCTAGAGATGGAATGAAAGCCAAGAGCTGAGCTCAAATCAATTTGTTTCCTTTGATGGGGGTGGAGTACATTTTTAGTCAGGGTTGATATTTTCTCAGCATCCGTAAAAGCAGCATTTCAGGCTTTTCCTGCATTGTAGAGATTGTCTTAGATCTGCCAAACTAGTAGCGCTGGATTCTGCAGCTGCTGCACAAATTAAATTTCTGCAGACTTAACTTCATGCCTCGAGCAGTTGCTGCATTGGACTCAGTCTGTTTCTGTAAGACAGGTAATTAGAATATCCTTATGTCCTAACCCATACCAAAATTAATTTAGGGAGCTCAGTCTATTTCGTATTTTTATAAATCATGTTCTTCCACAATTATTTAAATGGTAGTGTAGATTTGTTTTGCCAAGGTTGCTGTGACTGGAATTGTTTTTCAGTTTTCTCATGTCTGATGCTTTTTTCAAAGTTTTTTTTGTTTTTTTTTTTGTTTTTTTTTTTTTGTTTTTTTTTTTTCAACTTGCACTGCAAAGTATATAATAACTGAATTGTTTTCAAACTCTTTGGGGGATGTTTTCTTGTTCAATCAAGTTGCAGAAAGTGAGACACTTTGTTTTGTTTTTTTTTTTGACGGTAGTTGATGTATTGAGGTTTGAATTGAGAAATGCACCTGAGATACACAATATCTGTGTAGTCTTTGCAATGCTGGTGTTATCTAAAATAGAGGAACCACGGTGAATTTGAAACAGCAACCATCGTAAAGATGCCTAAGTAGTCTTTTGCCCTGCTAATACTTAATGTATATAATTGATGAAACTTATCATGGAATCATACTATCATAGAATGGCCTGGGTTGAAAAGGACTGCAATGATCATCTAGTTTCAACCCCCCTGCTACGTTCAGGGTCACCAACCACCAGACCAGGCTGCCCAGAGCCACATCCAGCCTGGCCTTGAATGCCTCCAGGGATGGGGCGTCCACAACCTCCTTGGGCAACCTGTTCCAGTGCGTCACCACCTCTGAGTGAAAAACTTCCTCCTAATATCTAACCTAAATCTTCAGTGTCTCAGTTTAAAACCAATCTCCCATGTCCTGTCTCTATCCACCAACAGCCGTTCCTCCTCCTGTTTATGTTCTCCCTTCAAGTACTGGAAGACCACAACGAGATCTCCCTGGAGACTTATCAAGTCTTGTAGCTGGACGATGTTTTACAGACGTGGTTTCTACCCAAAGTCAATATGCTGGTTTTTTTGTTGTTGTTTTTAAATGAATTGGGACTGCAATAAGGCAGCTATTTTGTTTTCTGTTTGTGGGCAAGAGAATTTCAACACAATAATTGCTTTTATTCTTGCACTGCGGCAACACTCAAAGAATCTAAATGACATCTTTGTTGTGCTAAATGCTGCATTGGTGTGACATAAAAATTAATCTTCACTGGAAATAGAACAGGATCCAAATAAATGATTTCAAGAGGAAGAGCACAGGAAGAAACTGTATGCATTGGTATGATTGACATGGATCTTGACACACCAATTGGCTACAGCTCTTGACATACTAGCCATGACAAAGATCTTTGAGGTATTATAACAATGGCACACATCAGCTCTACAACAATTAAAAAAAAAGAAAAAAAAACCAAGAATGTTGACATAATTCTCAAAGAATGGTAAGAAATCACTTGGACTCTTCCAGTGGTCCTGCTTTAGAAAAGTTTCTGTGCATGTACCAGCTTAAAAAGATTGAGTATTGCTTCTGGAATACTAAGCAGTGTTTCAACATTGTTATGTCAGCAGTCAGTTTGTGGGTTGTGGGTGAACAATGAGCCTCACAAAATGTGGTTTGTGAAGAAGAGTTTGATGTAATTACATGTACAAATTGTACAACACGGATCTCTTCCTGGCAGGGCATTTTGGGTGCTTTCTAATGAAGTGGTTCCAGGTTGTATTCAACCTTGCAGCTTTTAGATCACTAATATATTTCTAGTGAAAAAACAGTTCAGACGGTACTGAAAATGAGATGCTCTCAAAACAATGCTGCCAACTTTGAATGGGAATTGCTGCACCCTGCTTTAAATGGCATCAGAGAATAGCTGCTTCAGTGGTAGTTGGGGAGCAGTATACCTCTTCTGTTATTTATCCACTTATTTGCCTCACAGGCTTTTCCTTCAAATCTCACTTGCTTGGAAGTCTTATTCGCTTTGGTTTTTGTTTCCATTTCTGTAGACAGGAATTCCTGCTCAAACTGTGATTTTTGTTGTGTTTTTTATTTTTAATTTTTATTTTAAACCCTTACAAACTCTGGAATTCTCTGTGATCTTTGGTAGTGAGGTCCTTAGGATAGTTACAGCTGAGGTAACAATTTGATACCTTGTATTGCTTTCAAATCTACTATTTAACTGCTTTGCAATTTCTGTCATTCTTGAGGGATGCTATGTATGCCACTTAAATGCTTTTCTGATGGCTTTGAACTCATAGATGTTTGGTGCATGACAAATATTTATTTATCCCTCAGTAACCATTTTTAGTGTTAAAATGCTTGTGTCTATGTTAAAGCAGCTAGATCTTCGTTCTCAAATATGAACTGGTGACAGGCTTGCACGAGCTCGAACAAGGCCCTTATGTCTATCTCTATCACTTGTATAAATTTGTATTCAAACTTTTTTTTTTTTTAACGTAGTCAGTTTCGAATGCAGGTTGTAAAGCAAACTCATTTTTAGAAACAATTATTAGACTAATTGGTCATTAAGTTCCGAATCAGCCTCAGTGTGTAATCAGCCTCAGTGAGATGGCCTGGCAACCTTAATTACTTAATAGCATGTTTAACCTGTATTAAGCACCATTCCAATCAAATTGCAGTTATTAGACTGTGAGGTGCCAACAAGGCCTGTCCAACAGCATGTATTTCAGCTTTCTATTTAACAAAGTCTTCATATTTAAGAGAGATTTCTGATAGGGCTAATATTTCCTTTCCCCAGCTGTCAGTAGCTCCAACTCTCTTTTCCTTCATTCCCCAATTTTCATTTCAGCAGTCTTTCAAACCTTTTCCCCCACCTCCTCCTACACAGTTTTTTCCTTTGTTTGTGCAATCCTCTTTTGTCTCTCCATGCTTCTATTAGTTGCTAATGGTGACTTTCCGTTCTCTCATTAGTTGTTCTGTACTTCACTCCCAACCTGCTGATCAGTAAGAAAGTCTATTTCTGGTTAATACAAAGAAAGAGCTTGGCTAGTGAAGCAATGTGTGAATCAGACCCATCAGTCTTTCTGATGGATCCCTAAGCTAAAAGATTGGGTTTTGGTTACACAATATATTTTGACTTGTCTAGATTCTCTTTGGCCTTCAAAAAAGGAGAGGAAGTTGGAGGAACAGATGAAACAAGAGTGAGAGTCATCAAAAGGGAAAAATTTACTTAACTTCAGGAAGAATAGAAAGCAGGAGAGAAAATCATGTAAGGAAGGGAATAAAGTTTGAATTGATAAACTGCAAACTTTGTTTAAATTCAGCTTTGACTATGTAGATGACTCAGTTTGAAAATAGACAAGTGTGCAAATGCAGACCTATGGCATTATGTTGACAGATTGTCATCTTCTGTATGCTGTGAACCTTACACTCAGGCTGAATAGGTAAGTGAGCATTTTTCAGGATAGGCAGGAAAGTGTTTTTCACATTGCTTGTTTCTGCGTAGTACACGCAAAGCAATATTTTCAGTTGTCTTTAATTGATTTATTTATTTTTTTTAAGATTGAACATGTAAATGCAAAGCTGGACATCTTTGTGACTTCTTTGTCACAGCTCTCAATGAAAATAAATATTAATTTTGATTATTATATAGATATTATTATTATTATTGATATATTGATTATTATTATTAATATTATATTATATATATATTATATAATATAAATAATTATATGATTATTATATATAATATTAATTTTGAGGTATACTTAAAAACATTCATGAAAATTGCCAGTTGAAGCAGCGCTGACATCACCAGTAGTTGTTCCTCATGCACATTTTTTTAACCACACAAAAACCTCACAGCCCTTCACAAAAGTAGAGGAGATTAATTGCTGCTTGTATTTCAGAATGGCCAGTTTGGGATAATGAAAGTTTGGCAGAATTTCTTCCAAACACTATATGTGTTGCAGAATAAGCTGTTGTGAAATGAATCTTGCTGTGAGTTGATTCTGGAATAATGACTTCATTTACAAATAACTGTACTGGAACAATTAGCTGGTATTATACTATGAAGGTCTGCAATAATCCTCCTTTAATTTCCAGTGTACAGATAACCTTCTGCTTTCAGGAGGCAGTATTACTTTGCCAAGTAGAAAAAGTACTGTTTCAAACAAATGGTATGACTTTCCAGAGTGCTTAAAATACTAACTTTTAATCTGGACACGAAGTGAAATTCCATCCAGATTTTGCTTGTATTTTGTGAATGCACTTGTCCATGCTGTGTTGAGCTTACGCTTTAAGAAACTGCATTGTAATAATTTTAACTGATACTTACTTCCACAGTCCCTTTGCTGAGCTGATGATCAAGCCATAAATTTCCTTTAAACTACAGAAGATTTAAGATGGCAACACTGTTATATGTTGAATCTTGCTGGAATCTTTGTAGGAGCTGCCACTCAGCCTTTATCGGAGCAAAAGATGAAGCTGAGAAATGAATTAAGGGAATGAGAAAGTGCTGGATGTTTAGTGGGAGTTTTTGGCATTGCCTTATGTTTCCTAAAGGCCAAACAACAAAAATTGCATTACTGTAACCCCATCAGACTGCAAGATTAGACTCTGATCAGTACAAATTGAAACATATGCTTCAACATTTGGAAGACTTAAGCTGTAAATTGGGAAGGCTAAAGATCAGATTTTGCATAGCAGCACTAATTCCCTGGAACAGCACAAAAGGCTTTTTTGATAATGAATTGTGGTGTTGCGTTACAGAGATGCACACAGTGCTGGTTTGTTTATCGGTTTTAATTGAACTTACTAAGATTGTGGAGCCATGTGCATAGAAGTTAAGAAATGTAAGAACTACGGTGCCTCCGTGGTTCTAATTCATGAATTTTTCAAATCTTTAATTGCATCATCCCATCTGTCTGTGTTCCCTGCAAACCCGGAGCTTGCTCAGTAGCTCAGGAAGAAGAGGGCTCACTTGACGTGAGCTCTTCAGTATCGTCACACAGCAGGGCCACTCTCTTAAGTGATGATTAATAGATGAATCCTGTTCTGAAGAAAAAAAGAAAAAAAAAAAGGCGCTATTGCTGTCTCACTGCTTCATAAAAAAATTTAAGGATTCATTTTCACAGAAAACCCAATCAATTTGGGAAGTGTTGCCATCGCTTTATCGGTGTTTGAGCAAACTATAGAGGTATCAAGATCTATAAAGTCTGCCCACTTTGAGTGCCTGGTGTCTAAAGCATTGTAAGCTTGATATGCTTAAAACAGAGCTCTTGGGTTTGATTACAGCGTTTTCTTCAGCTGTGAAGCCAGAATTAGGACTCCAATCAAATGAGTAGTGTAGAATTACTCAGTGAAGAGTTTGGCTTAAGCATTTTACACATCTTCACACAAGACAAATCAAGTTCATTGGCAGTATTTTGCTTCTTTCACTCTGTTCTGTTAGTAGTATCACAGTAAGGAGTCCATGGACTCTCTTTGACTGTTTGCTTGCTTCCATCATCAGAAAGTTCTGCTGTTCTACATAACTGTGTGATTGTAGAGGGAAACTAATCTAATTGCCAGTTCTTACTGTTTAATCAAGTTGCTGTGGTGGGGCAAGAGCTGTGTCAGCCAGATCTGTTTTTTGATAGAGTTTGTTGCCTGGCTGCAGGAGCAATTGCATTGGCATAATGGAAAGGCCAGCTGCAAGTTTTGGACTTGGGACGGTGGGAACTGCCTGAAGCAAATTCGAATACAGCTCAAAAAGCACTCCTGCTAAACGTGAAGCCTCAGCTGAATTTCTTTTCCTCTTTCCTACTACCCTCTACAACCTCTCCTGCTACCTCCCACAT